GAATTGAGGAGAAAGAGTTTTCCGTATTTTTAAAAAAAAAAAAAAAAAAAAAAAAACAAGGAGGGGGTGGTGATGAGAAAACATCTGTAATTTCCACTTTGCTAGTTTAGTTGTAATATTTAAATGGGCTATAAATTTTTCCTTTTAACATATTGGTCAGTGGATAGGCCTGGATCTTCCTGTTGGAGCAACACATCTTACATGAATTGTTAAGGAAAGGGATTACTACCTGGAATGCCTAATGCTTCATGTGGCCCACTACCTGGCACATTGCTGCCGTTCATTAGAAACTCTTCCTGTGAGGGGTGTGTACACATGCTCAGGCATATGTGCCACAGTGTCTGTGGACATGCACAGCTCTTCATCCACATTTTATTCATATAACAAGATCAATATATACATTTTGCTATATTTTTTTCATAGTCAAATTACTGTTTTACGCCTGAGTTAAAGATGCTCTTCCTGCTCTATACATATTCTTTGGACCATCTCATCCACTTCGATGGTTTCAATGACAACTACCAAGTCCATAGCTCTGTACTAGGCTTCTCTCCCAAACTTGAGATCCAGTTGAATACCCTACTTCTCTTGAATATCCCACACACATCTCAGACTCAACATGTCCCCAATTCTAAAAATAAGCTGCTCCTGTTCCCCATCTTTGTGAATAGTAGCATCATTCACTCAGTTACCCAAGTCAGAAATCAGGATTTCATTTTTTATAAGACTGGCTCCCTCACCCCCAGTCCACCCAATCAGTCATCAATTTCTGTTGATTCTACCTCCTACATAGCTCCATATCCCCCCACTTCTTTCCATCCCCAGTGCCACTGAACTGGGGTCACCAGCATCACCTCACGTTTCCTCATTGATCTCCCCATCAGTGGGCTGCCAGAGAGATCTTCATAAAATGCAGATCAGGTCATGTCACTCCCACTAATAAACAAAAACTGAACCTTCAATACTTCCCAATAGGTTCAGGGTAAAAGTTAAGTTTCTCGGAGTGCTCAGTGCTCTGGTCTTGTTTATCTTCCAGCTGTGTTGCTCACCACTGTGGCCCTTGTCCCTTGCATTCCCACTCTGCTGACCTACCCCCTTCCTCCAACCCACCTGCCCTCCTTCCCTTTCACTTCTGTTCATGCTCTCCCTGCCCTGATATCCCAACTGATATCCACCTTCACCTGACTTCTCTTTATTAAGTTCACATTGGACATCACTTTATCCAGAAATCTTGGTTGACCCCTTTCCCCCACCCCCACCAGCACTCGTTCAGATTAGCCTCCTGTGTCATCTACCAAAGCCTAGTGTCAACTCAGCACTGATCACCCAGTATTATCACTGCATGTTTACTTGTCTGCAAAGACTGTCCATTTGCCAGTGGTAGAGGGAGGGATTGCCTGGTTTACCACTGTGCCCCTGATGGCTGGCCTACTGTCCAACATGCATTATGTATATTTCAGTACATACTTTGTAATGTGTGTTCATGACTAGCCAGGAAGCTCAACTTTTTCTTTTGTTCTCATATTTTCAAACTTGTAAAATGAAGTTAAACTCCTCATTTCACAACTCCTGCACTAGAATGCTATAAAATAATGACTATTATCATGTTTAGTCATTTATAAAAAGGACAGAAAACATCCAAATTTTACCAACATAGTCTACCTTTGCTAAAATTCCTGAATGGATCATTACAAAGAATATTATCTTCTCAATGATATTTTTATTAAAATCAGTTAGTTTATCAATTTCTTGACTTTTAACTACAATTTTTACTACTAACTTACATGTGTGCAATTCTTTAAAAAATCAAATTGTCTGGGTGTTTCCCAAATTCTATTATTCTGTACATTTTGTACAACATAGGCAGCAAGCAGATTAGAGTTTACTGTTCACTTTCCCACGTAATGACCAGTCAAACTTTTTAAAGTGTAAACCCAGCTCTCTGTAATTTACTGTTCTCTCCAGGAGCATTGTAAGATGGGAAACAAATTACAACTGCAGTTTTCTTTCTATGTTGATCTTTTTCTATTCCGGTTTGATGTGTTATTTTGTGCACTTATCTGCTGAGAAACACAAGGTGTGAAATTACACTTCAGGTGTGAAAACACTTCTCTGTCTCAGAAACAGGGCTCTCCACTCTTCAAACTGTTCTACGGAAAAAGCTGTCAGAAAACCGACAATGGGGGAGTGAATTTGCATTTCCGCAGCTGTACAGCTACATGATTCCTGCAGGAAAAGTTCAATCCAGTCACCAAACTGCTCTGGCAATTCTGCTGCCAGCTACAGCAGAAGGAATTGAGATAATCTTGCAAACAAAGAGGTGCTCATTTCACAAGGAGAGAAATTTCAAGCTTTATCCTGTTACAAGATTGTTTTTCTAATTATGAGAAAGGCCACAGTATTACTACCAAACTACCATTGCTGAAGTAGTATGACACAAAGGGAAAATAACAATTTTATAAACAATCCAAACCGAGGACATCTGACCAAAAGAAGGGAAATGTTGCTGATCGTTCCAGTTCAAAGGGAAGCTTTTATCAACAGTAATAATGTGCTCACTTCTTAATGTCCAGAGCAGAGGCCGTACCCAGGAAATTCTGCTTTTGTGAAATATCTGAAGAGCATGACTGGGGTCTTGTGGTGTTCTGTGACTTACTGTGATGACCACCAGTCAGAATAGCTAGAGAAAAAGTCCAGCTAAGTAAGTTTCCAATTTAAAAGAGCTCTGTTTTAATTCTTTGGAAATTGATAATGGTGTCTACAAAACAATACCAAGCTACATTTATCTTCTGATGATGATTCAGAAAGCTTTACAGTATCTTTCGTATCTCAGAACCATTATCAAAAAGCTAAATGAGTCACAAGCCCTTGATAGTACCATCAACTGCTTTACTGGCCACTTGCTTCATTCTTTTATTTATTCACATATAACTGATTATACATATTTGTAGGGTACAGAGTTGAATATCAATGCCTGTGTACAATGTGTGGTGATCGAATCAGGATAATTAGCATATTCATCATTACAAAACATAATCATTTCATTGTGTTGAGGACATTCGATCTCTCTTCTAGCCATTTAATTATAGTTGGCTAGCTCAACTGTACATCAAGAGAAGTTATTTTTCCTAGCTAGATATTTTGTGTCCATTAAACAATTTCTCACTACCCTTCCTCTCCCTTCCCCATTCCCACCTCGAGTAACTACAGTTCTGTTCTCACCTTCTGAAAGTTCAATGTATTGAACTGCAATGAATCTATAGAATGCTTTGGGGATTATGGACATTTTCATGACATTAATTCTTTCAATCCATGAACATAGAACATCTTTCCATCTTTTTATGTCCTCTTTTATTTCTTTCATCGGTGTTCTGTAGTTCTCATTGTAGAGATCTTTCACCTCCTTGGTTAAATTTATTCTTAAGTATCTTATTTTTTTTCATAACTATTATAAATGGGCTTGCTTTCTTGATTTCTTTTTCTATTTTATTGTTGGTGTATAAAAATGCTACTGATTTTTGTATATTGATTTTGTATCCTGCAATTTTACTGAAATTGTTTATCAGCTCTAGGAGTATTTTAGTGGAGTCTTTAGGTGTTTCTATATAAAGGACCATGTCATCTGCAAACAGGGATAATTTGACTTCGTCTGTTCCAAACTGGATGCCCTTTATTTCTTTCTCTTGCCCGATAGTGTTGGAAGTACTGGCTAGAGCTATGTTAAATAGGAGTGTCGTGAGAATGGGCATTCTTGTCTTGTTCCTGTACTTAAAGGAAAAACTATCAGCTTTTCCCCATTCAGGATGATGTTAGTAGTGAGTATGTTGCATATGGCTTTCAATTGTGTTGAGACACTTTCCTTCTATACCTAATTCCATGTTCATCATCCCACATATGTTTTTAGAATTTAACTATATAAGTGGATGTAAATAAAGATATCTAAAACATATTTAACAGCATTTTGCACATTAAAATAATATTTAACATTGTAG